CGAACAAATTCTTTCCAGGACCATTAAGGATTATTTAGGATTTTTTTGTGATTCCAGATGGTCTGGTAAAGTGTAGTTAATTTTGGTTTTACCCTCAAACCCTGGATAAAATCTGTTTTAGGATATTGATTATCTCACGTCCGTCTGTCTCGCCGATAACTCTCAAAGAAAGCATACGATTTAATGGAAATTTGGGACATCGTTGCTTTTTGATAAAATTAATATCGATTTCGAAGAAATGCATTGTCAGGCCACTTCTTCTAATACTACTCCAACAAAAGTTCAAATTTTTCAAAACAGTTTACCCTTTAAATAAACATTTTTAAAAAAATATTTTCCAAAGGACTATTAAGACTAGAAAAGGTTCTTTAACAAGTATTTTCCAAGAACCAAGAACAAGGCTACAAATGAGGATCTTCGAAGAATTTTTACTCAAGGACCTTCAAAACTATAAACAGGATTTTTGAAGAATAATTTCTCAAGAATCATTTGGGCTATAAATTCGGTTTTTTAGGAATATTTTCTGCAATTCTTTGAAGATCACAAACGTGGATTTGTAAAAAATGTTATTTTCAAGGGTCATAGATGCTATAATTGTGGATTTTTTGGGAACATTTCTTCGGGACCATCAAGGGTATAAAATTGGATTTTGGATCAAGGCTTTAATAGCAAATTTTTTTTTTCAAAATATTATTCTAAGGACCACCAACGCCACAAATGTGGATTTGTAAGACTATGTGTGATATGTGCGATAACGTGGAATATTTTCTCAAGCACCAGCAAGGCTGTTAACGTGGACTTTTTAGGAACATTTTTTCAAGGACCTCCAAGGCTATAATCGTGGATTTTTCTTCTTATTCTAAAAATCTCCATTCAATTTGATATTTAAATATATACCTTCTTGTACCATATTCCTTATCTTTTCCCTGTCTATTTGTAGATTTTCAAAATGAAAACAAAAATACAGATTAGCAAACTATATCTCAATTTCACCTTAAATCTCAGTTAGTTACCACTAAATGACATTCCATATAATTATGATGTTGATATAGCTGCGCCTAGACTAAATCTACAACTCCAAACGATATGGTGCCCCTCATGGCATACCTACCTACCATTTTTGTTGTTGGTGTTTTAGCGATAATCATTTCGTCGAAGTGGAATTTTTAAATCTTATCTTGTCTTAAACAAAAAAAAAAAAAAATGGAATAAAAAAATAATAAAGTAGCAGCAAAACAAGCTAAAACGTACGTCAAATGGGCGACCACAAAGCTCCAAGCAGTGATTTACAATTTACAATTAAAAAAAAAAGTGCGATTTTTTCTACAGTGGAGCATGGTTATGATGAATGAAAGTTCAAGAAAACTAGTTGCGATTTAACTTTAGTTTGGTCATGTGTGATCCGAGAGTCGAGAGTGTGAGTCGAAATAACTTATGTCCGATATAGCCTTGTTTGACTGTTTTTGGCAAAAACCTGCAAAACAGAGAGGGATTTTTTATATATCCTACACCATACAATGGAGGTATATTCCTATATGTATCATGTTGGCCAAAGACAAAAAAAAATCCAAAGAAGACAAATAAAAATCTAAAGCTTATGGCCGCTTTTATAGGCCTGATAGTCCTGCAGAAAAAAAAAGACTTAAAAAATCTACGGTTATAGCACAAGGGTCCTTGCGCAAATATTCCTTTTAAATCCACATTTATTGTCTTAATAGACCTTGAAAAAATGTTGCCGAAAAGTCCATGTTTACGGCCTTGGTGGTTCTTCAGAAAATATTCCAAATTTATGGCCTTGATGCAGAAAATTTTCTAAGAAAATCCGCATTTATTTATAACCTTGATGGTCCTTGAAATCTACATTTATAACCAAGGTTTTCCTTAAAAATACATTTAAAGCCTTAAATGGGGCTATTTTCAGTCTCAAGGACCCTTGAAAAATACATTTCAAAAATCCTCATTTATAGCCTTTATTGTCCTTGAAAAATATTATTCAAAATCTCCCTTTATAGCCTTGAGAAATATATTCTAAAAAACCACCTTTACAGCCTTGATGGTCCTTGAGAAAATCTTCCATTATAATCCAAGTTTATAGTCTTGTTTTTCCTTGAAAAAAAAGAATATATTCCAAATTTATAGCCATGAGAAATTTTTCTTAGAAAATTCGCATTCAAAAGCCTTGCTGGTCCTTGAAAAAATATTCTTTTAAAAACCTTATTGATAGCCCCATTTTTAGACTTAAGTTTCCTTGAAAAATACTTTTAAAAAATCCTCATTTATAGCCCTGAAAAATATTATTCAAAGTCCCCATTTACAGCCTTTAAAAAATATTCCTAAAAATCTACGTTTAAAGCCTTGATAGTCCTTGAAAAAGTATTTCACGTTTACAGCCTTGGTGGTCCTTCAATATATTTTTAAAAAATCCACATTTGTGGCTTTAGTGGTCCTTGGAATAATATTCTTAAAAAATCCGCGATTAAATCCTTGATGGTCCTTGGGAATATATTCTTTAATAACCAATTTTATAGCCTTGATGGCACTGAGAAATTGTTCCTAAAAATTCACGTTTATAGCCTCGATGATTTTTGAAAAAATAGTCAACGAGAAAAAAATCCTAAAACAAATCCAAATTTATAGCCTTAGGCTCCTTCTTCAAAATCCACGTTTTTGTCTTTGCAGAATTTTAGATAAAATTCATAAGCAATCCCCATGTATAGCCTTGATGAGTTTTGGGAAATATCCTTCAAAAGTCCACATTCATAGCCTTGATGATCCTTGAGAAAATATCTCTCCAAAATCCATTTTTATAGCCTTGAGGATGCTTGAGAAAGTATCCTTCCCAATATCCACATTTATAGCCTGGAGGTTCCTTGAGAAAATATTATTCCCAAAATCCACGTTTATAGCCAGGAGGGTCCTTGAAAAAAAAAAAATCCTTAAAAGTCCACATATATAGTCTTGATGTTCCTTGAAAAAATATTTATTAAAAAACACATTTATGGTCTTGGCGGTTCTTCTCCAAAAATCCACATTTGTAGTCTTTAAAAAAATTTTCTAAAAAATCCACATGTATGGCCGTGATGATTTTTGATTCAAAATTCCGCATTTATATCCTTGACGGTCCTTGATAAATATCCTTTCAAAATCCACGTTTATAGCCTTTAGAGTGCTTGAGAAAAAATTCTTTAAAAATCTACATTTATAGCCTTGGTGATTCTTGAGAAAATATCCTAGCAAAATCCACGTTTATAACCTTGAGGGTCCTTGCGAAATTATCCTTTCAAAATCCACATTTAGAGCCTTGACGATCCTTGAAATAAAATTTATAAAAAGTCTACCATTGTGGTCTTGGTGTTCCCTCTTTAAAAAAATTGCAGAGTTTGAGAAAAAAATTAAACAATCCAGCTTTGATGATTCTTGAAAATGTCCTTCAAAAATTCACGTTTGTAGCCTTGGTGGTCCTTGATAAAAAAAAAAAAACAAATTTATGGCCATGAGGATCCTCGAGAAAAAATTTCAAAAAAAACCACATATATTGCCTTTAAAAATCCACGTTTGTAGCCTTGATTATCCTTGATAAAAAAATTCCTTAAAAAGTCCACATTTATAGCCTTGAGGGTCCTTGAGAAAATATCCTTCCAAAGTCCTAGCCTAGCCTTCAGAGTCCTTGAGAAAAAAAATCCTTAAAAATCCACATTTTTAGCCTTGGTGATTCTTGAGAAAATATCCTACCGAAATCCACGTTTAAAGCCTTGAGGGTCTTTGAAAAAATATCCTTCCAAAATCCACATTTATCCTTGAGAAAATATTTTTAAAAAATTTACATTTATAGCCCAGATTGTCCTTGATTTTTTTTAAAGATCCTTTCTTCTAGCCTTAGAAGTCCTTGAGGGGATATTTTTTTAAAAATTTACGTCTATAGCCTAAATCTGAAATTTTGTGGGCGAAGTATTAGAAGAATTTGACCGACATTGCCTTTTTTCGAACTCGACCCATTTCGGATAAAAATGTAACGATATCCCAACTTTCAATCAAAACATATGCTTTCTTCGAGAGTTATTGGTCAGACGGAAGGACGTGGTTGAGTGAATCTAAATCAAAATGTCCTAAAACAGATTTAATCCTGGGTTTGAGGGTATAACCAAAAATAAATAACTTTTACCAGGAAATACTTTATCAGGAATCACAAATAAAATCCCAAATGATCCTTGAAAAAAATTCAGAAAATTCACGTTTGGTGGTCCTTGTAAGAATATGTTCGAAAAATCCACATCCTTGATGTTTATTGAAAAAATATTCGTGGAAATTGCATAATTTAAGCCTTGACAGTCTTGGAGAAAATATTCATAAAAATCCACATTTATGGCCTTGGTGGTCCTCGTTTATAGCCTTGGTGGCCCTTGAGAAAATGCTCCTGTAAATCCAGTCTTATCGCCTTTGTGGCTTTTAGAAAACTTTCTTAAATTATCCAAGCCTATAGCCTTGATGATCCTTGAGAATATATTCGTCAAAAATTCACGTTTACAGCCTTTGTGGTCCTTGAGAAAAAAAAAACTTTTATTTTAATACCTTGGAGCCTTGGTGGTTCTTGAGAAAATATTGTTGCAAAAATCGAAATGCTTCAAAAATCCACATTTATGGTTCATGATGGGCCTTGGGAAAATTATCCTGAAAAGACACGTTTATAGTCTTGATGGTCCTTGAGAAAATCTTCTTATAAAAGCCATCCTTGTGATCCTTGAAAAAGTTCTTAAAAATTTCACACGTATGTGTCATTCCTGGCCTTTAAAGAATATCTTAAGAAAATCGCTCTTGTTGCCTTAGGGGTCCTCAAAAAAAAAAAAAAAAAAAAAAAAAAAAAAAAACAAACAATTTCGTGTAGGGTCTCGTAAGGTCGACTTTTCCTAACTATATTTCTTTCCATTTTAGCTTTCCTTTCCTAGTCATTGAAGAGTCGTAGAAGCTCTTGACTTTCCTTTCAAAAGAATCCAGCTTCAAGCATCCCTTATTTCGACTCCCTATCCGTATCCAATGGATCACCATACCCATAGAAGCTATATCTGCTAGATTCATTGCATTCCCAACAATAGCAACAAATTGCAACAATGTCATCAGTTTTAGTACTTATCACTTGTCAACTTACTCTGCTCTGCTCTGCTCTTCTGTTCGCTCATTCACTAACCACTTAACACACAAGTGTTGAGTGTTAGTTTAATCGGAGGCGCAGCGTGGTTGACGTGAGACGTTGTGTTACTTCTCTGGCTCAACAAACAAACAAACTTCAGCCATTTGTTGTCGTCGACGTCGTCGTCGTTGGCCGTCCGTCAGTCATATCAGTCTTTGGGGAAACCGTGAACAAACCGCAACAACTCCATCGAAATTCTGTAAAACAACGATCAAATGTTTGCAGTCAGTCATCGAGAGAGCCAGCGAGCGAGCGAGCGACAACGATCAGCACGCGAGTGATTGACGCGAAACGAAACGGCAAAGTGATTTCTAGTAAACGACAAATTATATACAGTATATTTTCAAAAAAAAAAAAAAAAAAAAAAAAAAGAACAGAAAACAAAGCTTCCATACGTGTCGGGGGAATAAAACATCGTTCCATATTTGAGAGTGTGTCTGTCGCACGCCCAAGATTGATTTGTGTCTTCTTTGGGGATGCTGTGAAATATTTTAAATTCTGTGTGGGTGTTAATGAGATTGTCACATACATAAAAATGTAAATAAAAAATCGTATTTAAATTAATTATAAAAATATGAAAATTAATTAAAGTTGTGTGAGAAAAGTTAAGTGGCAGATGAGAACTGCATTAAATAAAAATGTGTTTTAGGAATTTATAAAAATTCAAAAATAAAATTCAATGTTTCCGTTTGAAGAGGGAACTGGTCATAACATAAGAAAATATGAAGATTAGACAATAAGAAGATCTCCATCATGACCAATTATCAAAAACAGGCCAGCATTTTGCACGTTATTTTAGGGATGCATATATTCTGGCCACTAAAAAAACATTTAGACTCAATTAAAAAGTTCGATAATTTTTTTACCATGGTGTCAAACAGCTTCCCCTGTAGAATACTTTCAACCATTGACGTAAATTCCTAAAAAAAATAGCAAAAGAATGAATAACTTTCAGAACTAACCGGACCGAACTTTTAATACCCTCCACCATTTGGCACAAATTTGGCAATTTCCAAAAACAAAAAACCGTTAAAAATTCTGTTAAAATCTTAAAAATACCGAATGCCTATACGACGACGTGGACCTGCATAGGCAACTTTTGTCATAAGTTATTACAATATTTAAATGCGAAACTTGAAGAAAAATCTGTTTATAATGTAGCTAAAATCATCAAAATACCGAATATAGGGGGTACCGTTATATGGGGGCTATAAGAAGACGTGGACCTGCACGGACAATTTTCTGGCATGGGCTGAAGTATCCATTTCGAACTTCACATGCGAAATTTGAAACAATCCCAGTAAATAATGTCGATAAAATCATCAAAATATCGAATATCGGGGGGTACGGTATATGGGGGCTATACGAAGACGTGGACCTACATGGCCCATTTTCTGTTTTATGCTGCAGTATCTATTACGAACTTCAAATACCAAATTTGGATCGATTCCGTTAAATAATGTCGCTAAAATCATCAAAGGCTGTAGTATCCATTGCGAACTTCAAATGCCAAATTCGAAACAATTCCGGTGAATAATGTCGCTAAAATCATCAAAATACCGAATATCGGGAGGTGCCGTTATATGGGGGCTATATGATAACGTGGACCCACATGGCCCATTTACGAACTTAACCTGCCTACTTGCAAAATATACATGTGTGAAAAAAATTTAGCATTCTATCTCAATTTGTTCGAAAGATAGCGTGATTACAACAGACAAACGGACACACAGACAGACAGACGGACATGGCTAAATCGTCTTAGAATTTTACGCTGATCAAGAATACAAATACTTTGTTGGGTCTGACATGAGTATTTCGAGGAGTTACAAACGGAATGACAAAATTAATATACCCTCCATAGTATGGTGGAGGGTATAAAAATATTAAAAACGTTAAATAAGGTCGTGTTATATTTTTATACCCTTATACCCATTTATTACCCGATCCAGATGAAATTTTGCATAAATCATTTGTTTGGTCCAAGGACGAACCCTATTGAAATTGGAGATAATCGGTAAAAATTTAGTTATAGCTCCCACATATATTTTCGTCCGATTTGGCTTTTATTGTGCACCAAACGTGTAATATGAGCCCGAATAGTATGGAATTTTGCACATACAACCAAATTAGGCCTGAAAATAAGTATGCCAAATGTGATCAAAATCGTTTCAGATATAGCTATAGCTCCCATATATATTGTTCATCCGATTTGTTATTTTTGTCCTCCGCAGCCGTAATATGCACTCTGTAACAACAATATTTGGGGAAATATATCAAATACAGCTCAGAAAGACATTTGATACATTTTATCTAGGTCGGTTCAGATTTGGATATAGCTCCCATATATAACTTCGTCCGATTTGCCTTTTATTGTGCACCAAACGTGTAATATAAGACCAAATGTGATGGAATTTGGCACTTATGACTGAATTGAGCCTAGAAGCTAGTATGCCAAATTTGGTGAAGATCGGTTCAGATATAGTTATAGCTCCCATATATATTGTTCATCCGATTTGTTATTTTTGTCCTCCGCAGCCGAAATATGCACTCCGTAACAACAATATTTGGGAAAATATATGAAATACAGCTCAGAAATACCTTTGCTAAATTTTATCTAGATCGGTTCGGATTTGGATATATCTCCCATGTATAACTTCGTCCGATTTACCTTTTATTGTGCACCAAACGTCTAATATTTGCTCAAATGGAATGAAATTTGGCACTTACGACCAAATTGAGCCTAGAAGGTAGTATGCCGAATTTGGTGAAGATCGGTTCAGATATAGCTATAGCTCCCATATATATTGTTCATCCGATTTGTTATTTTTGTCCTCCGCAGTCGTAACAACGATATTCAGGGAAATATATCAAGATCTCAGAAATATCTTTGCTAAATTTTATCAAGATCGGTTCCGATTTGGATATAGCTCCCATATATATATTTCAAATGGGCAATACAAGTCCGAATTTAAAAGCTCCGGTATATTTAGTCTTTTGAACTTTAAATTATAATTATAATCATAACGTGTATGATTGAATTCTCCCATAAAAACTTTTAATTGTTATGCGGCCCGACTTTAAGACTTTCTTTACTGTTTTTTTTTTTGACAAATTGTTTGGCTTCTGCCCAGACCTAAACTCTGACTCGATGCAAAATTCCGCATCGATTGATTCATAATTGTGGCAGGAAATTTTTCTGTTTTTAGTCCATTTCAACCCCTTAATATTTTGCGATCTTCTCCAAATACAATAGACTTCTATTCTGACCCTTACCCCACTTGTAGCGTAATGACAAATTAACATGGACAGACAGACGGAAAACCATAGCTAGGTCGACTCAGCTCGGCGGGATAGGAATATCCATATTTAGTTTCCTATGTCGGGGACTAATATTTCGAGGTGTTACATAACTTTTAGCCCAATTAAACTTATAATACCCCCAACACATAGTGTTGTAGGACATAATTATATAGTCAAAATTACGAATGGATTGTATCAGTAGAAGTATTAATTAAAAGTTAAACTTTAAAAAAAAAATAGTAAAAAAACATTAAGTTCGGCCAGGCCAATATTTTAATACCCTCCACCATTGGGTAAAGAAAACATTTTTTTTTATAAAAGTATCTGAATTCAAGCGTGCCTTACTTTAAAGTACAAATATCAGTAAGGCCATTTAGATAATGCTGTTAAAGTGGGTTAGGCCATTATATGGGGGGCCTTACCAAAACGGGAACCTCTATAGATAATTCTATACTTCAAGGATTGTCAATTTCGTGGGAAAATGTGACTAGGATTATCAAAATGCCGAATATCGGTGGATATCGTTATATATTCGTGGAACTAAATATTCAATGTTCTGCCAGCGGAGCTACAACCCATTGCGAACTACAAATACCAATTTTTAGACAAATCCGTGAAAAAATGTAGCAAAAATCATCAAAATACTGCATATCGGGAGGTACCGTTGTATTGGGCTATACAAAAACGTGGACCTACAAATACGATTTTTTAGACAAATCCGAGAAAAAAAGTGCGCCGAAAATTATCAAAATACCGAATATCGCGAGGTACCATTATATGGCAGCTATATCAAAACGTGGACCAACCATCCTAGACACAATACAATCTATCAAATTTTAAAGCTTTACGTCAAATAATGTGGGACCGATAGATCTCATCTTTACACCAGATTTTGCGTTAATAAAAATATTGGGATGTATGAAATTTGAAGATAATTGGATACTTATTTCGCATTTTATGAGCGTTTTGTTATTCAAAATTCAGACCCGTTGTGGGGCAGGTACCAGAAGGAGTGGACCTATATATCCCATCTTTACATCAGATTTTGCGATGATAAAAATATTGACATGATCCGAGATTCAACGGAATCCATTACTCATTTAGCGTTTTATGAGAGTTATAATTATTTCAAATTTTGGCCTGTTGTGGGGGAACTCTTAGAAGGAGTGGTCCGATATATTCCACCTTCACACCTGATCTTGTTTTAAATGAAATATTTTAATGTGCTGAGTTTGAAAGTAATTGGATATTCATTTTGCGTTTTATAAGCTTAATGGTTATTCAAAATTTAGACTCGTTGTGAGGAAGGTATCAAAAGAAGTGTTTTTTTGAGAATTTTTCTAGAATCCTCCTGTTTTGATTTCCTTCCAATGTAAACCTTCCAGCACTTGTCTCATATTTTTAGCTCTACTAGAGACTTTCTTGTAATTTTTAAGTATTTTAAGACTTTCAGTTCCAACTCTGAAATTTTAGACATTCTAAGATCGTGGATTTCACAATAACTTAGGTCTTGTGTATGGTTAAATTTTTTTTGGTAAATTGACCCCTATCTTTGGAAGTCACACTTTTATATTTATTTATTTTTTTAAATATTTTTAAAATAGTTTTTTTTTTAATTAAATTGAAATAATTTTTAAATTTAAATATATATTTTTTAATTTCTTTCCAGATAGAGTATATTCCAAGTGAACGGAAAGTAGAAATAAATATTCAAAATATAATAAAAAAATCCAAAAGGAAAATTGAAATCTCAGAATATAAGTGCTAGTATTGTGCCGTTAATCAATCGCATCGTTTACCTAACAATTCAAAACAAAATACATAAATACGGTTGTGATATAGAAAAGTGATTTAGAAAAAAATATTTAGTAAAATTGGAATAAAAAATTCTAAATAAAAAAAAATAAAAATATTAAAAACAAAAAAATATTAAATAAAATATTTTAATAAAAATATTTGATAAAAAATTAAATATTATAAAAATATAATCATTTGTTAAAGAAAAATAAAAAATCGTTAAGATGAAACCCCTTAACAATAATTTCGAAAAAGACCCAGGGGTCAAGGAATCCCTGCTAACAGTTCCCAGTAAATTTCAACTACAACCGGTGCGTGTTCATCCGAATGGTACTCCAGCTATTGATGCCATGGCAGATTCCGATGAAGAGGAGGGATTGGGTTATACCCATACGTTGGTAAGTGCAAAAAAAAAAAACAACAAATATTTTTATTTAACATTTTACATAAGAATAAAAAGGGAAATATTAAAAAAAGGAAAATTAGGAATTTTCGAAGAAGTTCGATAAAAAACAGAACAAGTTCTATTAAAAAAGAACACCTTTTAAACACTATATTTATTGTTTATTTTACAAAAAAAAAAAAAAACAAGTAAAAAGGCTGAAAGTTCGGCCGGACCGAACTTTTAATACCCTCCACCATTTGGAACGAATTTGGCAATTCTCAAAAACAATAAAATCCGTTAAAACATTATAAATATCGAATGTAGCCATTATATTAGGGTCAACATGAATATTAGGACGACATGAATCTGCATAGGTAATTTTTTCATAAGCCATTACAATATTCAAATGCGAAACTTAGAAAAAAAATCGGTGGATAATGTAGCTAAAATTAACAAAATTCCGAATATCGGGAGGTACCGTTATATGGGGGCTATACGAAGACCTAGACCTACACGGACAATTTTCTGTCATAGGCTGTAGTATGCATTACGAACTTCAAATACCAAAATTGAAATAATTCCGATGAATAATGTCGCTAAAATAATGATAACGTCGACCTACATGGCCCATTTACGAACTTAACCTGTCTACTGGCAAAATATACATGTGTGCAAAATTTTAGTCTTCTATCTCAATTCGTTCGAAAGATTACGACAGTCAGACAGACAGACAGGCATGGCTACATCGTCTTAGAATTTTACGCTGAAAAATACGGTATTTCGAGGAGTTACAAACGGAATGACAAAATTAATATACCCTCCATAGTATGGTGAGGGTATAAAAACCATTTTAACAACTCTTCAAATACTAAAATTTACAGAACAGGTCCATTGAATAGGTTTCTACAGCCAATAAAAGATTTTAGAATTTAGATCAAGTCTTCTAATTCAACTTCCTCGACATGAGAAACACTTTTAAGGCCCTTTTGACCATAGAATCACTTAAGGTCTTCCATAGAATTTTTCTATACCCTTCACCCTGTAGAGTATGGAGGGTATCTTAAGTTCGTCATTCCGTGTGTAACTCATAGAAATAATAATTTTAGACCTATCAAAGTACATATACAGGGTGAAATAAAAAAAAAAAAACTGCAACAAAGTCAAACGCCATCATTTTTACATATTTTTTTTAAATTTTATTGAATGTGAGCAAAAAACGTCGGAAATAGCATCAAATTTTAGAATAAGTTTAGATTTCTTCGAATTGGTTACCTTTGACAAGAATTATGGCCTTCAAACGGCCAATGAAACTGTCACACGCTTCCCTAATGTTGCTCTGCGGTATTTTGGCCCATTCCCGGCGAAGCGCTTGCTTCAAGTGATCGACACTTTGGTATTTTTTTGAGGGCCAACCTTGCTTTCCAAAATACTCCAGACACAACGATCTAGTCCAACGGATTGGTATCCTGAGATTTTGGTGTCCATTGTGCGCTGGAAATGAAACGAGCAATCTCATTGTGTGACCATTCTTGGGTGGCGCGTGCGATCTGAGTGCGATGGTGCTGAGACCTGTTGGAATGTCAAAGGTCTGCGGCCAAAATGTTTGCGTGCCCAAGGCTTTAATACACCCTCCAGAATATTTTCACGATAATATTCGGCATTTATTCTGATGCCACGGTGGATTAATTCGAGCGGGGAGCGATTATCAGCTGTTATGGCGGCCCATACCACACCCACGCCATGGCCGGCGCTTGAGTTCTGGTGGCCAACGGAAGATGCACATTTTCAGCTGACCTCTTTGGGAAGTAAAGACGATCATTTTGTTTGTTTACAAACTGCTGGACAACGAATGTTTTCTCATCGGAGAAAGCTAAATTCGGCAGTTCACCACTTTCGGCCAGTCGAAGCAACTCCTTAGCTCTTTTGAGTCTTTTTTCTGTTCTTTCTGTTGCGGTGTAAGTTTTTGCACTTTTTGGAATTTCAATGGCTTTACCCCGAGCTCATTTTTCAATATTTGCCGAATGAAATATTGTGATATGTTCAGCTTACGAGCCATTTTGCGGCCACAGCGACGCGGGTTTCGATCAAGTCGCTTTTTTTACTTTTCAAACCATTTCTGCTGATGTTGCTGTTTTCTTCCGTTCACTTCCTTGACGTCGGGCTATGCTACCAGTACCAGTATCGCGATAACGAGCGATGGTACGAGCCACAAAAAATTATTCACATTTAAATGCTGGAGTGCCCTAACGATAGCCACTAGTGGCGTGTCCAGCCAAATATAAAGAAATCACACTATCACGCTTCCGAATTCCATCACGAATAACTTTTTTCTGGAAAATTCTCACCAAAATGCTTTTGTACGCTTGTAAACTATATAATGAGCTGTCACTGGAATAATTTTAACAGCTGTCGGATGAGTGGCTTAGAAATGACAGCAGTCTGAATTTAGTTGCAGTTTTTTTTTTTTTCATTTCACCCTGTATTCTGTATTTTGATGATATTGGCGACATTATTCACCGGAATTGTTTCAAATTTCGTATCTAAAAAATCGTAATGGGTACTTCAGCCTATGACAAAAATTTACTTATGCAGGTTCACGTCTTCGTAAAGTCCCTATTTAAAGGGGTTTCTTTGAGCGATATTTTTCGACGTTTTTTTTTGGAAATTTTTGAAGTTCCTTCATAAAGGTGGAGGATTATAAAATTTCGGCCCGCTCGAATTCAGGTGTTTTTTTTACTTCAAATAGTTGAGAATTTTATAAAAAGCCCCGCAATAACCTGTAAAATTTCCTCAAATTTTGAAAAAAAAAATTTTGTTCCACTGTGTAATCTAATCACCATTCGAAATTCCCATCGGTTTCCCTTCCGGTATGGATTTTAAATTATTTGACAATTAATAAAGTCCGACGTGTTAATATAAATCACATTGCTTTGAAGTATTGTCACAACGATTTGAACGGCAAACACCGAAAAAAACAACAACAACAATTAGTAGAATATTTGTCACTTTTTATGGTGGCGAATTCACGTGCCATTCGGCTTGCAGTCAGTCATCCAGTTTTTGTCACCAGAACAAAGTAACAAATAAATAATTAAAACTAAATAAACTAATTAAGTTTTGAACAATACAGTGTAGCAATCAATACAAGTGACAATGGCATTAATACAAAAGGAAATTAAAAAAAACAACAACAACAAAATTAAAAATACAAAATCAACACTATCTAAAGTCAAGCGTTAAATAGCAAATGCGGCGAATTTAGCAGTGTTAGAAGTTTCAATTAACAATTCAATGATAAAAAGTTTGAATTTGAGTCCATTATAGAATCATAGATTAGACCACAAAGGTCTACTAAAATTCTGATGGCCTTTGGGACGTCTGTGGCCAATAGAAGGTCTCTAATTGCAATAGAAGCTTTTAAAAGCTTCCAATTAAAAAAAAACTTTCAAATTTCAGAGGATTTCTATTTTCTTTGGAAGGATCTCAATGGGTCTCTATTTTTATGTTCAAGCTTCTATTTCCCGAAAATGTTCTCCACGGCACTCTATATTCTTCAAAAAAAAAAAAAACTCTTCAAAGGGGATCTACTTTTCAACAGAAGACCTTCAAATATCAGAGGATTTCTATTTTCTTTAGAAGGATCTCAAAGTGTCTCTATTTTTAACAGAAGCCCTTATTTTTTATAGAAGGTCTTCAATAGAACTCTTTTTCCAATAGAAGTCCTTTAAAGGGCCTTTAATTTCAATATAAGACCTTAATAGGGCCTCAATTTTCAGGAAAGTGTTTTTTGAGAGCCTCTTTTTTCAAAAAAGACCTTCAAAAGGGTCTAATTGTCCCTTACTTTTTATAGAAGATATTTATAGGACTCTATTTCCAATAGAAGTCTTTTCAAAGGTCTCTAATTTCAATATAAGGCCTTAAAAGGGCCTCTAGTTTCAACCGAAGACCTTAAAAAGAGTCAATTTTCAATAGAAAAGGGTCTCGAGTCTTATGTTCAACCTTCTATTTCCTAAAAAAGTTCTTCAAGGCTCTCTATTTTCTTCAAAAAAAAAAAAAAAAAAATCTCTTCAAGGGGTCTACTTTTCAACAGGAGACCTTCAAAGGGCCTCTATTTCTCGTAGAAGCCCCTTTTTATAATTAGAGGTCTTTAATAGGGCTCTATTTCTAATAGAAGTCCATTAAATGGTCTCTAATTTCAAAATAAGGCCTTAACATGGGCTTCAATTTTCAAGGAAGTGTTTTAGGGGCCTTGTATGAAACATAGAAGCCCTGAAAGGTCTGTAATGAAACATAGGAGCCTCCAAGAACCTCTTGAAAGAAACATAGAAACATGGAATCCATTTAGAGGCATTCTATGAAACGTAAAAGTTCTTGGAAGACTTTGGTGAAACATAGAATCGCCTCAGACGGTTTTTTTAAACATAGTATCCCCTCAGAAGACTTTTATGAAACATATTATACCCTAAGAGGTCTTCTATGAAACATAGAATACTTTTATATATCATAGAATCCACTTGAATCCCTTTTGAGTCCTTCTATGAAACAT